TGATGTAGCTGGCGCTGGAGTGAAGCTTCAGTGCGAGCTTCAGCGTGTGGATCTACGTCTCGCTCTTGACAAGACGCGAGTTCTTGCTAGTGATTCTGATTTACGTGACCAGCTGTCCAGGAGGCTGGTATCGCTTAGGGCCCAGGGCGTGAACCATGAGCGCAACCTGGGGGTTGACTACAGTTCAGGTCGGTTTCTCAGGAGGGCCACCAGGACGGGCAGAATCAAGGTCGCCAAACCCAAGCTCAAGAGAATGAAACATCTCCAGGGAGGCATGGCCAGGCGGAAAACCATGGCCATCATGGCCAGGGCGGCCCTGGAGACTTCGGTTGCTTTTGGGACCTCCGTTCAGGGTACTGCCTCTAAGGAGCTGGACGTGTTGCGATCCCAGGCCGCTGCGGCGCTCGACGCCAAGACCAGCGGCAAGAGCCGCACTCTCGCTCTCGCGCTCGCGCCGCAGGCAAACTACGACCCGATTTGGAGGGCTACTCTGGAGCCTATCAAAGCTTTCAGCTCTGTTCTTTGGGCGGCGCGCGTGCCATGTCATGTATTAGAGCATGGCCTTGAGGCCGCTAGATTGGCGTTGTCTGGGAAGGACCATATGTGGCCGCAAGTTCGGGGCCCCCTGGGAGCCCTCTTCGCTACGCTCGCCAGAGTCGGGATCGTCGTCGTTGAGCCCCTGGTCTGGAAGTTGCCTGACGGTCTGGAGCTGAAACTCGAGTACATTTGCCCCGGGGTCCTACTGCACTGCTGTGCGCATGCGGTGCGCCACTGGGTTAACCTGCAGATTTCGGAGCACCTCCAGATGCCCGAGTTCCGTACTGGGTTCTGGGATGGGCCTCTGAAGTACCTCCTGAGCGCCAAGGGGAACCTCACTTGGCAGCAGCGTGGTTACCTCAGGAGTGCTATCATTGGAGCTCAGTGGCCCCAAGATCGGCAATTTCAACAAGGATGGATTGACTCCCCGAGTTGCCTTGCATGCCATGAGGCCCCTGGGTCCCTCGTGCATCGGCGCGCTGTTTGCAAGAGCATGCTTGAGGCAATAGGAGAGCCACTCCCTGATGCAATCAGACTCATGCTCCCGCATGCGGACCAGAATGACCTGGTGCGCCTGTTGCTGGAGCGTGTGCTCGTCCCGCTCCCCAAGGCCCCTCAGGCAGTGCTGCTGTCGCCGTCGGAGCCCTGTGTGGAATGGCACGGGGATGCGCAACAGCTCACAGGGGACCTTTATCTTGATGGCTCACTGTTTACTGATTATCCACATCGCGGGACTGCTGCATGGGCAGTTGTTGCGCTGGCCGCCGACACTGACACGGCTGTCTGCACCGTCACAGGTCTCCTGCCCTACCCGCTGCAGGACATTGACGGTGCCGAGCTGTATGCCCTGTTCGCAGTGCTCAGATTCGCGGTGCCCCCTGTTGTCGTGCACACGGATTCCGATTTCGTTTGGAAGGGCTACAGTATCCGAGGACCCGCTGACACCACGTCGGCGTCGGCGGCTTGGGCCTGTCTTTGGAAGCTCGTATGGCACAAAGTCGATGACTGGGGGGGTACCCCCCCTGAGGTAAAGAAAGTGAAAGCCCACGTGACTGATTTTCTGGTTGCGGAGGGGAGGTATAAGCTTCGAGACAAACTTGGAAATGATGCCGCCGACGGCCCCTGCCCCGCCAGAGCCCCCCCTCCCCCCCGCTGCGAAAAACAGTCGTGCTCGTGTCCTCGCCGGCCCACCCAACAGTAGCTCTACCAGTCCGCGCCAAGACAGTCCGGGAGTATGAGGGGCATGAGGGACACACACAACATCACCCCTGCTGGTCCCCTAGTCTTACGCGGGAAACTCGATGCCGCGCCCGCTACCAACACAACACACAAACCCCCCCCCCCCCCCCCCCCCCCCCCCCCCCCCCCCCCCCCCCCCCCCCCCCCCCCCCCCCCCGGCGGGTGAGGCCATTGCATCTGTAGACTGTTTGCACCGCCAGCGCTCTGCACGTTCTGCCCCCTCCCTAATCATTGTCAAGCCAGAGCCGCCCACCTTAGAGCAAAGGATCCAGCAGGCTCAGGTTTCTCTGAAGGCCGCTGGGTCCAAGCATCATCGTGTGGCCTCGCTTTTCGTGGGCGAAACCCAGGTGTTTTGTTGCACTCACTGCGCTGCATGCACCACCCAGCGCGTGGTGTCTCTTGCGAGCGAGTGCCAGCCCCGTCATCTTTCGAAGGATCGTCGCCTTATCCTGGAACGATTGAGACGGGGCGAGTACTGTTTAGCCAAGTGTGTTCTGAGGTTTGCAGGTTATCGCCTGCTCCCAGAGCCCTAATCCTTGTCTTTGGCTTCCAACGGGGGGCGCGGTGCGAGTGGGGACTGCCCGGCGTTGCGCCGTTAGTGACCCTCGCACCGTTGCTCCCCGGCCCCGCGCGCAGCGCGGTGTTGTCCGATGAGCGCGGCTAATGGCGGTTGCAAGGTGCGCCCCTAGCCGCGTTCGAGGTCCTGCTGAGGCACCGTAGACTCTGTGGCGCCCCAGGCTGTGCCCAGGCGGAGGAGGAGGAGGAGGAGGAGGAGGAGGAGGAGGAGGAGGAGGGAGGAGGAGGGGGAGGGAAGGATGAGGAGGAGGAGGAGGAGGAGGCGGAGCGAAAGGAGGAGAGGTGAGAGGAGGAGTGAGGAGGCGGGAGGAGGAGGAGGAGGAAGGAGGAGGAGGAGGAGGAGGTGAGGAGGAAAACACAAGGATGAGGTGAGGAGGAGGATTGTGTGGATAGGTGGAGGAGGAAGGGAGTGAGGAGGACGAGGAGGAGGCGGGAGGAGGAAGGCGGAGGAGGAGAGGCGGGGATGAGGGAGGAGGAGGGAGGAGGAGGAGGTGGGTAGGAGGAGGAGGAGGAGGAGGAGGAGGGGGGGGGGAGGAGGAGGAGGAGGCGGGAGGAGGAGGGGAGGGAGGAGGAAGGAGGATGAGGGGAACAGGAGGATGAGGATGAGGAGGAGGATGATTGTTGGAGGGAGGAGAGGATGAGGTGGGAGGAGGTGGAGGAGGTGATGAGGAGGAGGAGGAGCAGGGGAGGAGGAGGAAAACGAGGAGGAGGAAAGAGCAGGAGGAGGAGGGGAGGAGGAGGAGGAGGAGGAGGAGGCGAGAAGAGAAGACGAGGAGGAGGAGGAGGAGGAGGCGGAAGAGGAGGAGGAGGAGGAGGATGATACTGCTGCTGCTGATGATGATGATGCTGATGATGATGCTGATGATGATGATGATGATGATGATGATGATGATGATGATGCTGATGATGACGATGATGATGATGATGATGCTGATGATGATGAGGATGATGATGATGAGGAGGAGGAGGATGAGGGGGAGGATGAGGAGGAGGATGAGGAGGAGGATGAGGAGGAGGAGGAATACTGATAATAATGTGCGTATTATGAAGACGAATAATAGTGATAGGAATATTATTTCGGGAATAGTAGTAATCATGCGAATAATAAGACTACGATGGATAATATTATTAGCGGTGCTAGCGATAGTCATAATACAACTACTACTACTATTAGTAACGCTAACACTACTGATTAGAATACTAAGAATAGTGAAACTAATATTACTACGAAGAGAAGTCATACTACGAACAAGAATATTCAAAAAACAAAAAAGACCAACACCCATCATACTACTAATAATACTAGCACTACTGATACTATTACTACTACTACTACTGCTGTCACTACTAATACTAATGATTGTATTGATATGGGTAATGCTAATACTACTACTAATCATAATACTAATACTATTAGTAAGCATACTACTACTACTACTACTACTACTACCAATCATGCTTAGAATAATAATAATACACAGCAAGAACACTCATAATACTATTGATAATGATAATAATCAGATGAAGAATACTAGTAGTACTGACAATACTAATGCTAATACTGCCCATACTACTACTACTACTACTACTACTACTACTACTACTACTAATGATACTAGTAATATTAATAGCAATAATACAACTAAAGATACTAATACCAATATTATTGATAATAGTACCACTGACAGCAATAACCATACTAATAATCATAATAATACGAACACTAGCACTCATGATGCTAATAATAACTATTATAATAATAAAAATGATAATAACAATAATAATACTACTAATAATAATAATAATCATAATAATCATATTAATACTAGTACTACTAATAATAACACTAATAGTAATACGACCAATATTATTACTGATGCTATCAATGGTATAGCTAATAAGACTAATACTCGTACTAATATTAAGAATATTAATATAAAGAAAAAGAAGAATATGAGGAGGAGGAGGAGGAGGGAGAGGTGGAGGAGGAGGAAGGGAAGAGGAGGAGGAGGAGGCGGAGGAGGAGGAGGAGGAGGAGGAGGAGGAGGAGGAGGAGGGGGGGGGAGGACCTGAGGGTTCATCATCTGTTCGTTTTTTCGGTCCCGACCCAGTCGGATCGCACCGAGGCCGAAGGGAAATTCGAGCTTGATGGTGTGGTTCATGCCGTTGCAGGTGTCAGGCGGCTGCGGCCGCCCGAGCTCCCCTCAGGAGCCTCGTCCTCGGGATCCCCGCGGCCTGCGTCCCTGGCAGCTCCCGCCGAGATCCGCCCTGCTGCCTCGGCCTTCGGCGACAAAGGCCAGTTGGGAGCGGACTGTGCCCGTCTACGTGGGGTGGAGGGTGGTGAGTCTCGACGGGATGGGGACCATCCAGGCAGCTCGGACTAGCGCGTCTTGGGCCTTGTCCATGTCAGTGGTTTCTGTGCTACTGCTTCTGTTTTTTTTTATCCCCTTCGATCGATGCTCGGCCGCGATATCCGAGCTCTTGGTGCCAAAAGGCGGTTGCAAGGTGCGCCCCTTGGCACCGAGCCTTGCTGACGGTGGACAGACTCTGTCCGCCGTTATATGTGAGGAAGAGGAGGATGGACGAGGAGGAGGTAGAGGAGGGTGGCGAGGGGGGTGAACAGGCAGTGGATGAGGAGAGGCGCCGCCGAGGTCGCGGGCAAGATGCTGAGGCGTGGCGCTTCCGTGGACGTCGTGGACTGCGCTGGTCGTGGAGCACTCTTCCACGCGGTGGGGCGCGTGCGGTCCCATGCAGTCACGGGGGGTGGTTTGGGCGTCGCTCCTCCTGCTCCTTCGCCTCCTGCTCCTCTTCCTCCTCCTCCTGCTCCTCCTCCTCCTTCTCCTCCTCCTCCTCCTCCTCCTCCTCCCCCCTCTTCCCCCCCCCCTTCCCTCCCTTCTTCCTCCTCCTCCTGGTAAGTGCTCGGCGGGGTGTTGGCTTTCTCCCTCATCTCTTGTGATGATGCGCTCGGGTTCCAGCGCGAGAGGCCCTGGGGGTGGCGGGCGAGGAACGAACAGTCATGATATGGTCGCGCATCCTCGCCTTCTCCTCCTCCTCCTCCTCCTCCTCCTCCTCCTCCCTGTCGCACCCCGAGGCCAGTTTTTAGGGCGGGCCGGGCGTTTCGCCTAGAGACTTCCTCGCCATTCATGATTGTGAAGCTTAGCAATTGACAACAGTTTCACAGATGTAGGGCGGGCCGTTTTCAGAATGTGGCTCTCGCTTTAGCGCGGTGCACATTCATTGTAAATATTTGCAAAAGTTTCATGGATTGAAGGCGGTTCTTTTTCAACATGTGGCTCTCGCCTTAGCGCCGCGCACATTCATTTAAAACAACTGCAAGAGTTTCACGGATTGAGGGCGGTTCTTTTTCAAAATGTGGTTCCCGCCCTAGCGCCGCGCACATTCATGCATACACTTCGGACGAGTTTTGCTGATTCCCATGGTCAACGTAGCAGAAACGGTTTTTTGAAAGGAGGCACGAGCATGCGGGTGCAACAGTTATGTTTGTTCGCGGTGTTGACGTCCCAAACATGGCGTTCTGGCACGATTCCGGATCGTCAAGACGCAGCAGTCAGGTTGATCCGTGGCGTTGAAATCCCGAGAACACTGTTTTGGCATGCGTCAGGGTCTTCAAGGGTGTCTTCCAACGAGGCAGTTCCTTCAATGAGAATGAACCATTGTAGGGGCCTATGAAGAGGGAGCTCTCCTTCAACACCGAGCATGGTCTCGCGGCCCTCCTGAAGCAGACCAGGCGCAGAGAGGAGGCCGAGGTACTCTTCCGCGAGGCCGTCGCCGTCTTGGAGGGGGCGCTCGGGGCCCAGCACCCGGAGACCCCCAGGACCAAACATCATCTCGCGAACCAACTGCAGGAGACCAGGCGCAGAGAGGAGGCCGAGGCCCTCTGCCGCGAGGTCCTCACCGCCCAGGAGGGGTCGCTCGGGGCCCAGCACCAGAAGACCCTCTCCGCCAAATATAGTCTGACGCTCCTCCTGAAGCAGACTGGGCGCAGAAAGGAAGCCGAGGCCTTCTGCCGCGAGGTCCTCACCGTCCAGGAGGGGGCGTTCGGGGCCCAGCACCAGGAAACCTTCCGCACCAAGCATGGTCTCTCGGTCCTCCTTTGGCAGACCAGGCGTAGAGAGGAAACCGAGGCGCCGCGAGATCCTCGCCGCCCAGGAGGGGGCGCTCGGGGCCCAGCACCAGGAGACCCTCCGCGCCCAGCGTAGCCTCGCGAACCTCCTGGAGCTGACCGGGCGCAGAGAGGAGGCCGAGGCCCTCTGCCGCGCCAAGCATAATCGCGCGAACATCCTGGAGCTTACTGGGCGCAGAGAGGAGGCCGAGGCCTTCTACCGCGGGGTCTTCGCCGCCCAGGAGGGGGCGTTCGGGGCTCAGCGCCAGGAAGCCCTCCGCGCCGAGCAGAATCTCGCGAACCTCAAGGATCAGACCGGGCGCAGAGAGGAGGCCGAGGCCTTCAACCGCGAGGTCCTCGCCGTCTGGGAGGGGGCGCTCGTGGCCCAGCGCCAGGAGACCCTAACACCAAGCATGATCTCGCGAACCTCCCGCGGGAGACCAGGCGCAGAGAGGAGGCCGAGGCTCTCTACCGCGAGGTTTTCGCCATCCATGCTCTCGCGGTCCTCCTGAATCAGACTGGGCGCAGAGAGGAGGCCGAGGCCCTCTGCCGCGATGTCTTCGCCGTCCAGGAGGGGGCGCTTGGGGCCCAGCACCAGGATACCCTCCGCACCAAGCATAATCTTGCGATTCTCCTGGAGCAGACCTGTCGCAGAGAGGAGGCCGAGGCCTTCTACCGCGAGGTCTTCGCCGTCCAGGGGGGGCGTTCGGGGCCCAGCACCAGGGGACCCTCCGCACCAAACATGATCTCGCGAACCTCCTGGGACTGACCAGGCGCAGATCAGGCCGAGGCCCTCGTGCGCTCGGGCCCACCCGTTCGCGAAAGCGCGTTTGGGGCTGAGCTGTGCATGCAAGAAATCTTGCACGCCTCTTCAGAGTTTCTGCGCCCGCGCAGGTGCATCGGGAATGCGTGCGATGGCGGTCTCCCGGCTCGTTTTACAGCGCGCGGATGTGTCCCCCCGTGCAGGGCATGGCGTTGCGCGCTGAGACGGCATGTAAAGATATTCAAAACTTGTCAATAACCAGGAAAAACCATTCGGGCATTTTTCTGGCATTGCAGCGTTGCCCACGTCGGGGAGGTTTGGGTTCGTCGGGTCACTGGCCAAAGTGCTCGTTCGTAGAGTCCCCGTCAGAGGGGCGCTGATACTCGATGCGGACTGATCCTGGCACAAGCGTGCTCGCGTCGTGAAAACGATCGCGACGGTGCCTTTCTGTGGGCCGCTTTCGGCCTCTTTGTGGGGCCCTTGCTGGGCCCTGGGCCCTCGCCGATCATCCAAGAGATCCGCGCGGACCGCCTGCGTGCAGGGCTCGTTCGAATCTGGCGGAAGTGTTGCGTTCGCACGCCGGCTGTAAGAGGTAGGTATTTCTGGCTTCCCGGATCCCCATCTACTTCGACTTCTGTTTCAAGGGCCGATGCGCTTTTGCTGTGTCGTCTTATTCTCTGAGAGGGCTTGGGCCCAATCTACTTTATCCGCCTTCCTATTCCATGTCTTCACAGTCTTATTTCGACAGGCGTGTATGTGCACATGCCCGCCTCGGAACGAACGACCGGTTCCGAAGCGTCAGGTCATTCAACGTAGACCGATGCTGGGTCGCCGGCGGCTTTTGACGTTTCCGCAGGGGCCACCCCATGTGGCGAGAGCGCATTGCAGGCCAGGGCCAGCGCCGCTATCCTCAATGATTTTTTTCCCTACTTAGGCTCTGCCTAGAAGGGTTGTTGCTCGGTTGGCTTAAAGGGGCCGGGCAGTGCAAACCGCCCCGGGCGGTTCCCCCTGTCCCCTGGTTGCTGTTACCTGTCGTCAGCATAGCATAGCATCGCATAGCATAGCATAGCATAGCATAGCATAGCGATCTGTGTACTACTGGTTATTCGACACAGTCCCTGCGCGCCAAGAGTGGCTCGGGCGACCCCACGACAGCGGGGAGGTTGTGGTCACACCACTCTGGTGAAACCGCATATCCCAGCGCCGATGATGCCCGCCGAAACAATTCTGAACAGCTTGTTGCACCGATCTGGGAGTTGCTGCTGCTGTGCAGTTTTGGAGGATTTTTTGGTGTAGCAAGTGTTGCACAATTTTGCTCAATGCCAAGTCGTGCGGTGTAGGCCGGACCCGGAACATTATCAAGCGCACCCAGTGATCGAATGCAGAAACATGCGCGCGTGCGTTTGTGCGCAGACAAAGCAATAACAAAACCAAGCAACATCAAACACAAAAACAAAGCAAACACAACGGCAAAAACAAAATCAAAAACACAGGCAAAGGCAACCACAAAGGCAATAGCAAAAGCAAAGGCAATGCAAAGCAAAGCAAAACCAATGCGAAAGTGTAAATGTAGATGTAGATGTAGGTGTAGGTGTAGATGTGGATGTAGGTGTAGATATCGATGTAAATGTAGATGTAGGTGTAGATGTAGGTGTAGATGTAGATGTAGATGTGGGTCTCGCTGTTGATGTATATGTAGATGTGGATGCAGGTGTAGATGTAGCTGTAGGTGTAGGTGTATATGTAAATGTAGGTCTAGATGTAGATGTAGGTGTCGATGTAGGCGTAGGTGTACATATAGATGTAGATGTCAAGAACTCCCCAGTGCCCCGCCCTCATCTCCGTGCCTGCTTGCTTTGGCTGCTGTCTCGGCGACTTGCTACTTGCTTCTGCTGTTTCACTTGCGGCGTGGCGTCGGCGGTTCTGGCGCTACTACTACTACTACTACTACTACTACTACTACTACTACTACGACTACTACTACTACTACTACTACTACTACCACTACCACTACTACTACTACTACTTACTTATACTACTTATACTATAACTTACTTCTTTACTATTCTTGTATATTTGAACTACTAGGACTCCTAGTACTTAGTTATTGTACTTGTACTTATTTCAATACTAGTACATAGTACTTGTTACTAGGTCTAGTACGTGTACTACTAGTACTAAGTACTTAGTACTAGTTACATAGTATCAGTTACCTTAGGACTAGTTACTAGTACGAGTACTAGTTCGTAGTAATAGTACGAGTACTAAGTTACTAATACTTTACTTTTTACACCTATACTAATTCTAGTACTTGTACTAGTACTAGTACTAGTAATTAGTACTTACGATACTACTGCTACTACTACTACTGCTCTACAAAGAAGACTACTACTACTACTACTACTACTACTACTACTACTACTACTACTACTACTACTACGACTACTAGTACTAGTACTAGTACTAGTACTACTACTACTACTACTACTACTACTACTACTACTACTGCTGCTGCTGCTGCTGCTGCTGCTGCTGCTGCTGCTGCTGCTACTACTACTACTACTACTACTGCTACTGCTACCACTACGACGATGCGGAGAATGAGGAGGTTGACGTTTACCGCTCCTACTAATGTTGCTTTCCTCGAGGCTCCAACTCCTAGGTCGGGTCGCACTGGGATAATTGGTTTTTTGGATTTTGGATGTTTTCCGTCATTTCTGGATTTTTGGATCTCTGGATTTTTTTATCCGTAAGGGCTTCGCCCCCTGCCGCCGGCCCCCTCTTTCGGATAATGGGCCATGGAAGAGCTAAGTCATGAGGTCTTGGCGCTGTCGTGAAGCAGTATCGAAACTTCATGCGAAGCCGATTCGCAATCAGCAAAACCAACTGATTCACAAGAGGGGTTACCACACCTGGCGATTGGTAAGACGTGTATGGTTTACGGGCTTGGTTACCACACCTTGCGATTAAAGGGCCGAGGGAGTTCTCGCAGTTTGGGTTACCACGCTTTGCGATGGATGTGCGTGAAGGGTGGCACCGAATTTCAGAAATGTGGCAAATCCCCTGTGTTTTTGGACCCTGACCCCGCGGATCTGCGTGAGGGGTGGCACCGAATTTCAGGAATGTGGCAAATCCCGTGTGTTTTTGGACCCTGACCCCGCGGATCTGCGTGAGGGGTGGCACCGAATTTCAGAAATGTGGCAAATCCCCTGTGTTTTTGCACCCTGACCCCGCGGATCTGCGTGAGGGGTGGCACCGAATTTCAAACATGTGGCAAATCCCCTGTGTTTTTGGACCCTGACCCCGCGGATCTGCGTGAGGGGTGGCACCGAATTTCAGAAATGTGGCAAATCCCTTGTGTTTTTGGTCCCTGACCCCGCGGATCTGCGTGAGGGGTGGCACCGAATGTCAGAAATGTAGCAAATCCCTTGTGTTTTTGGACCCTGACCTCGCGGATCTGCGTGAGTGGTGGCACCGAATTTCAGAAATGTGGCAAATCCCCTGTGTTTTTGGACCCTGACCCCGCGGATCTGCGTGAGGGGTGGCACCGAATTTCAGAAATGTGGCAAATCCCTTGTGTTTTTGGACCCTGACCTCGCGGATCTGCGTGAGTGGTGGCACCGAATTTCAGAAATTTGGCAAATCCCCTGTGTTTTTGGACCCTGACCCCGCGGATCTGCGTGAGCGGATCTGCGTGGAGGGGTGGTTTTTTTCCGATTTTTGCGACCCCCCAGCCAATTCAGACACTATGACCAGACGATGTATGACTTAAAAATCGTTGGGGCCCTCCCCCCCCCTCGCGCGGTCAATAACTTTTTTTTTCATTAGTTTTTTTTTAGTGTTTTTTTTTTTTTGTTACAGTAACCAGCAAGAAGCAAACCTGTAACACTGGAAACTACAAGCTACAACTGGTACAGGAAACTGCGAATCACGGGCCTACAGCCTGGTGGCCCCACAAGGGGGCCGGCGGATTTTTAGATGTCTGGGCGTCTGTGTTCATGCATGATGATTGTTCTTGTGCGTAGAGTGGGCCTTCGCCTGAGGGGCCTGTGGTCTGGGCCCGCAGGGTTCCCCCCCAGCATTGCCTTGCGCACCTGGCGTTGCCCTGGCCGCCCACGGAGCCGCACACCACATTGGCGCCACCGACGCAAGCTAATACTATGCGTGCGTCGCCCCCAGGGGCGCGTCGCCCCCACAAGAATCGGGGGTAAACAGGACCCCCTCTGGCGCGTCGATCAGTGAGCTGTCCGTTTTCGGCTCTCGCGAGGGCGCCGCGGCCGTCATTTTCCAGGGTGGCGCCCGCCAGGTTGGGGCCCGAGGTGGTTTTCACGAAACCACGTTTTACAATTTGGGTTCTGTCCATCCTCGAACTATGTGTGCGTCCCAAGGGCGCGTCGCCCCCACAAGAAAAAAGGGACGACGCGCGCGCGCGCTCAGATATCTTGCCGTGTATGCCCGGTGGCAGGCGCTTTCTGGCCACACCGCTGGGGTAAAGGACATACCATAGCGTTGCTGTGCTTCATGGCCTGGTCGGACGCTCGCCTTCAAGGAGGACACATCGTATTAGTATGTCCTTCTGCGTTTCACCACGTGTCAGTCTTCACCATTGTCAGAGCCACCCCGGCCTATGCTGGGACGGGGTGTTGTGGCTCTCGGCGGAAGCCGAGTCCATACGTAGTGCGTCCAGACAGAGTGCTCGGCCTCCATCTGGGCTCGCTCCGTCTGGACCTGGCCCCTCTTGCCAGGAGGCGGAGTCCACACGGTTTGAGTCCACGCGGAGTGCTCGGTCTCCTTCTCCTCCTCCTCCTCCTCCTCGTCGTCGTCCTCCTCCTCCTCCTCTGGCTCCAGCCTCTGCTGATGCCGTGGCTCTCCCAGCACGCCCTTCCTCGGTGTCGGGTCGGGCGCGGCGAGACCCCCCTGGGAGGCGGCGCCCGTCCAAGGAAACCCGGGGGAAAGAGGCGGGGCCGGCCAGCGGGGCCGAGGCGCTGCTCCCTGCCTCCAGGGTGGGGGGTGGGGGGAAAAAACGCACACACACATTAAACAAACAAAAACACAACAAAATACAAAAACACACCAAAACAAAAAACACATAAACACACAAAAAAACAAAAACACAAAAAACAAAAAAACACGCACTGTGGGAAACAACAAAACAAACAACACACACACGCAACAACAAAAACACACACACAAAAACCACACCAGGCCTCCCAGATGGGGCCCGAGTAGAGTCGACACTCATAGTAAGGCCGAGCGACTCGCCAAGGAGACTACTGCATCCTTGCCTCTCCGGTCCTCTTCGGCCCATCCTCAGCCGCTCTCGATGGCCAGCCCCGCTCGAGAAGCTTCGGGATGGGCGTTCAAGGGGCTTGCATCCTTATTGCGCATCCTTGCTATCAGTTTTCACTGTAGATGGGGTCGGAGGATTGCACCGCATCGACGATGCAATGGCGATGCGGCTCGATGTGGAGCCCGATTTCTCCACGCCGACGTCACCGATGCATCGGCGATGCATCGGCGATGCGGCGCGATTCTCCGACCCCATCTACTCGGACCCCGTCGAGGAGGCCTCCAGTAGAGGGGGGGTGGCCCAAGGTGGTGTCAGGGAGCGAACTCCGCTCGAGGCTGGCACCTCCCCCCCTCCTCGAGGGGTTGTGGAGACCGATGCTCCTCCTCCTCCTCCTCCTCCTCCTCCTCCTCCTCCTCCTCCTCCTCCTCCTCCCCTCCCTTCCTCCTCCTCCTCCGCCTCCTCCTCCTCCTCTCCTGCTCCTGCCTCCTCCTCCTCCTCCTCTCCTCCTCCTCCTACTCTCTCCTCCTCCTCCTCCTCCTCCTCTCCTCCTCTCTCCTCCTCTCCTCTCCTCTCTCTCCTCCTCCTCCTCCTCCCCCCCCCTCCTCGAGGGGCCCCACCTCTGGGCCTGCCCCGCCTCTGCGCCCCCTCGGCCCCGAAACACACATCACGGTCGAGCTTCTGTCGCAGGCCCTGGGCTCTGCGGGCCCTCGCGCTGGGTCCCGGGGCCGTCGAACAGCGGCGGAGGAGGCGGAGGAGGCGGAGGAGGAGGAGGAGGAGGAGGAGGAGGCGGAGGAGGAGGAGGCGGAGGAGGTGGCGGCGGGAGGAGGAGGAGGAGGAGGAGGAGGAGGAGGAGGAGGAGGAGGAGGAGGAGGAGGTGGAGGAGGAGGAGGAGGAGGGGAGGAGGAGGAGGAGGAGGGGGAGGAGGAGGGAGGAGGTGGAGGAGGAGGAGGAGGCGGAGGAGGGGAGGAGAGGCGGAGGAGGAGGAGGAGGCGGAGGAGGAGGCGGTGGAGGAGGCGGATGGAGGAGGAGGAGGAGGAGGAGGTGGAGGAGGAGGAGGAGGGTGGGGGGAGGAGGAGGAGGAGGAGGGGAGGTGGCTGGAGCTCAGGAACCGGGAGGAGCGAGAGGAGGAGGCGGAGAGGAGGAGGAGGAGGAGGAGGAGTGGGGGGGCTTCCTCGTCCAGAACTCTTGCCCATGCCATTCCTGGCGTGCGGCCGCCACGGCGGCCAAGCGGGCGGGGCAGGTTCTGGGCGCCAGCCTGGAGGGCCTCAGCGCCGTCATCGAGTGCGGCGGCAGGGTGAACTCTTTGGACGAGGATGGCCGTCCTGACCTCGTTGTCGCCGTCGTCGTCTTCGGAGGTCTTCAGAGGTTTCTGAAAGTGTGGAGGTTCCCGTTGGGGAGGGAGGAGCATGAGGAGCAGGAGCAGTAGCAGCGAGGAACAGCGAGGAGGAGGAGGAGGAGGAGGAGGAGGAGGAGGAGGAGGAGGAGGAGGAGGAGGAGGAGGAGGAGGAGGGAGGATGTGGAGGAACCCTCGAGGGTGTCCGCGGTTCGGTCGGGTCGGCTGCTTTGAAACTTTGCAGTCGGTCGGTTCGGTCTGGTCGGCTGTTGTGTCGCTGCCGTGTCGCCATGCCCTTCCAGGCTGCTTCCAGCAGAGCTGGTCCTTATTTTCGTAATGGCGGCCCATCCCGCCACCGTGCCTGGGTTGTGGGTATCAAGCCTGTTGGATGTTCGTTGGGATCTCGTGGGAGGCCTTTCGGGGTCCTCTTGGAGGCAGTTTGGACGCCTCTTGGGAGCCTTTTGGGCCTTTTTGGGGCAATCTCCGTGCGGTGCTCGAAGGATCCTGGCCTTGGGAGCGCGGACGCTGCTTACTTTGGATCATGGCCCTCGGAGCGCGAATCCAGCGTAGTTTACGAGGGACCGCGGCCCCTGGGAGCGTGACTGCACTTGAATTTGGGCGGGATCGCGAAGCCTTTTCCCCTCCCCCTACCTCTCTCTGCGCGCCGCCAATCACCAGAGGAGAACAAAAAGCACTACCACCAGCTGGGGGGGGCTGGCCGATCCCCTTCCCCGAGCTGGTGGCGCCCCGTTTCGGGCGCGCCCCCCAAAAATGCCCCGGACGGAGTGCCACCAGCTCGGGGAGGTGGCCATTGGGAACGGAGATATGTGGAGTTCCGGTGGAAGTGGTTCTTTTTGCTATCAGCTATCATGAGGCAAGTGACCCTTGGAGCGCGCCCGCTGGGGCCCCTGGATCGCCGAGCGCGAGGCGGCAGTGGCGTCCTTCGCGTCTGTGTCTGGCCCCCCCCCTGCGCCCCCCCCACGCCGGCGCACCAAGGGTCGCTCTTGTCCAGGGTCACTCGCGTGCAGCTGAAATGCAGACCACTTCGGGCTCAGGCGGGCATGTCTCGGCGGCGAGCGAGGGGAGGAAGTGAAACGGGGAGCGCCTTTTCAGAAGGCTCGGAAGTTGCCCGGCCTTCTGAGAAGGTTTTCAAGCCTCCCCCGCAGACGCAGAACACTTCTCGGAAGGCCGGAGCGCTTCTGAGAAGTCCCGCCGCCTTTGAAAAGGCCTTTTCCTTCTTTGGTCTTCGGGGGGAGTTGTCTCTACCCAGGCGAAGGGGCCCCGTCGTGGCCGAGGCTCGCCGTGGCCAGAGGCACCCCCTCGCTCCTCCTTCCCCGCTCCTGCTGGTGGCGCGATGGCTGAAGACCCCTTCGCCCCCGCCGCAGCCCTCTGCCTCCGCCTCCGCATCCTCCTCTTCCTCCTCCTCCGCTCTCTTCTTCCGCTCCTCTCCTCCTCCTCCTTCCTCCTCCCTCCTCCCCCTCCTCCTCCTCTCTCCTCCTCTCTCTCTCTCCTCCTCTCCTCCTCCCCCCTCCTCCTCCTCCTCCTCCTCCTCCTCCTCCTCCTCCTCCTCCTCCTCCTCCTCGCCGCAGCCTGGGGAGTGGGCGGCCACGCGAAGGGCCGAGACCGTCCCCTGGCGGCGCCGACGACGGCGCCGACCGACGGCGCCGACCGACGCGGGCGGCCCTCGGGCGCCAAGCGGAGAGGAAGCACGGCGCCGACGGCGGCGAGGGCGGCCTTCCGCGGGTCGGAGGGGGCGCGGCCGACGGCGAAGGAAGCGGCCCTCCGAGGGGCCCGGAGGGGCGCGCGGCCGTCGGCGGCGCCGCCCCGTCGCCCCTCAGGAGGGGCGCTCGCCGCTCTACCAGGCGTGCCTCATGGGCGAGGAGGACCCGGGGGCTGCGGGGGGGGGGCTGCAGGGGAGAGGGTGGGGAGGGGCGGGGAGAACTTAGGGGAAGGAAACAACGAATGATGGTATAAGCATTAAGCATAAAAACTCGGAGGTCCGCGCGGATTTCTCGGTTCCGCGCTGGACCCCCCTGGCGACGCCTCCGGCGCCGCCCCTGGCGCGCTCCGCGCGCCAGGGAGGGGGGTCCAACGCCGATACGAGAAATCCGAGTGGATCTCCGAGTTTTTATGTTTATGTCATTGTTTGTTTTCCCAGAACAGGAGGATTCGTATTTTGCAGCACCGGACCGTTCGCGGAGGGAAGCGGCTCTCGACCGCGATTCGTGGCATGAGCATCGGCATTCCTGGATCAATCACACGTTGGGTCATGAGAACGCCACCGCCAACGTTGGGAGCAGGTAGCCAGCTAGTGCAGCACACACAAAATGGTTTTAATATCTTCCATGGTGTGGCTGTGATTCTTCTTCTGCGTCTTCTTCTATATCTCCTTCTAGATCCTCTGAGATTCTTGGGAGTAGCGTTCAGTGAGAGGCGGTGGGAACTCCAAGCTCACACAGGCCGCAGCAGCAGCAGCAGCAGCAGCAGCAGCAGCAGCAGGGAGGGGAGGAGAGGGAGAAGAGGGAGAGAGTGACGGAGGGTAGGGGAGGGATTGTCCCCCTTGGCCTATTCGGGTCTCGGCAGGCAGGCGGGGACACCTCCGACGGTCCTCCCACATCACACCGACCTTTACCCACAAGCTCGCTCGCCGAAGCTGGGCTGAGGGCAGGGACGGGAGAAGGTTGCGACGAGGTCGGGTAGACGATGGCAATTCCTCTGGGGGGGGGGGGGGCGAACGAGAGGTGGAGGATGGTCCCCAAAGCGCCTCGGCTGCCGCCCCGCGCCGAACAAGGTAGGCCTTTCTCGACCCTCCGCCTATTTTTCCCTCGCTGCCGTCCGTCCGAGGAGAAGAGGGAAGGAGGCAAAGGAAGGAGGAGGAGGAGGAGGAGGAGGAGGAGGAGGAAGGGAGGCGTAGGAGGAGGGGAGGAGGAGGATGAGGATGAGGAGGAGGAGGAGGAGGAGGAGCATGAGGAGGAGGAGGAGGAGGAGGAGGAGGAGGACGCCTTGGGAGGAGGAGGAGGAGGAGGAGGAGGAAAAGGAGGAGGAGGATGAGGAGGACGCGTTGGGAGGAGGAGGAGGATGAGGAGGAAAAGGAGGATAAGGAGAAGGAGGACCAGTGGAAACCCAAGGAGTCATCAACGATGTTTGAATGATCCCTCCCTCCAAGCTCCCTCTTCATAGGCCCCTACAACGGATGATTTCCATTGGGGGAACTGTCTCGTTGGAAGACAACAGTTTGAAGACCCCCAAGCGTGCCAAAACATTGTTTTCGGGATTTCAACGCCACGTATCAACCTGACTGCTGCGTCTGGACGATCCAGAATCGTGCCATGCCGTTTTTTTGGATTTCAACACAGCGAATCAACATAATTGTTGCGCCCGCATAATCCTGAATCGTCCCAAACACCATTCCTGGTACGTTGGTCATGGGAACCCGTGGAACTCTTGCAACTTTTAAAAACGAATGTGCGCGGCGCTAGGGCGAGAGCAACATTTTGAAACGTTTCCGCCCTCAATCCGTGAAGCTCTTGCAACTTTGAAAACGAATGTGCGCGGCGCTAAGGCGAGAGCCACATGTTGAAAAGGAACCACCCTCAATCCGTGCAGCTCTTGCAAAACAAGAGAACGAACGTGCATGGCGCTAAGGCGAGAACCTCATTTTGAAAACGACCCGCCCTCAATGCGTGAAGCTTATGCAATTTGTGAAAACGAATGTGCGCCGCGCTAGGGCGAGAGCCACATCTTGAAAACCACCCGCCCACAATCCGTGAAACTCTTACACATGTTTGAAACGAAAGAGCGCGGCGCGGCGCTAAGGCGAGAGCCACTTTTTGAAATCGACCCGCCCTCAATCCGTTAAGCCCTTGAAATCTTCGAACCGAAAATGCGCGGCACTAAGATGAGAGTCACATTTTGAAAACGACCCGCCCTCCAAGTGTGAAACTATTGTTGACACTTTTCAAACTCTAGAGTCATGACCGGCAAGCAAGTCTCAGGCGAAATGCCCAGTCCGCCCTAAAACTGGCCTCGGGGTGCGACAGGGATGAGTTATCTATACGGAGAAGGAGTGGCGGAGGAGGACGAGTTGGAGATGGAGGCCTTGAAGGAGGAGGAGGAGGATAAGAGGAGGAGAGGAGGAGGAGCGAGGAGGAGGGGAGGAGGAGGCGAAGGAGGAGGTGAGGAGAAGGCACAGGAGGACAAGGACGAGGCGGCAGGAGGAGGAGGATGAGGAAGGCGGAGGATGATGATGAGAGGAGGAGGAGGGGAGGGGGAGGGGTGGGGGCAGGGGGGAGGAGGAATAGGAGGAGGAGGTAAAGGGGGAGGGGGCATGCGACGGTGACAGCGGAGAAATACGGAGGCGGAGGAGGAGGAGGAGGATGAGGAGGAGCAAGAGGAGGAGGCAGGAGGAGCAGCAGGAGCAGGAGTAACATGAGGCGGAAGAGGAGGAGGAGGAGGAGGAGGAGGACCATGAGGAAGAGGAGGAGGACGAGGAGGAGGAGGGGTAGGAGGAGTTGGAAGAGGATGAGGAGAAGGATGACGAGGGGATGAGGAGGAGGAGGAAGATCAGGAGGAGGAGGTGGAGGAGGAGGACGAGTTGGAGATGGAGGATGAGGAGGAGGAGCAGGAGGAGGAGGCGCAGGAGGAGGAGGATGAGCAGGAGGAGCAGGAGGAGGAGGAGAAAGAGGCGGAGATAGAGGAGGAGGAGCAGGAGGAGGTGGAGGAGGACGAAACATGATACTACTAATAAACATGATAGCAATACACATACATTGAATACTACTAAGGCGAGCAACAAAAACACCACGATCAACACCTCAACTGCTACACTTAGTATTCGTATCACTAGTATGATTTATACTGCTGCCAATGTCACTATGAATTAAACTACGATCGTACTACTAATCATTAATCTTCAACATCTGAAGACGGACACCACTACAACGCAGGAGAATAGGCAGGACAACACGAAAGCTGTCACTACGCAGGCTACGACTATTATACGCATACTACCACGACTACTACCACTGATACACATTACTCGGCACATCAATATCACGACCACTGCTGCTAATGACAAGAACGTGAATACGCCTGTCACTAAGAAGGCGACTAAGAACTCCCATCTTTTACTACCATCAATACTACAACTCGTACTCATCGTATAAGCCTAGTGATAATCAAGGAAGTGCACCCACTACTACGAATCATGATGATCATATCAAGAATACTAACACTAGCCGTATGCACATTATCACTGCTAATAATACTACTAATAATACAATGACGCATCCTACTACTGCTATTCGCACTGGTACTACTACCCGTATCCGTGATACGAATCGTAGTAGTTATAGTAGTATCACGAAGACGACGAGCACCACCTGATATTTATGGTAATATCAGTACCACGATTGGTATACTTAATAAGAACGCTAACGCGTCATTACTAGTATATGGATGATAATACTCATATCAATAATTGTAACCATAACACAGCTAATAACAACACGAATAACAATAGGACTAATACTGCGAATGGGGAGGAGGAGGAGGAAGAAACGGAGGAGCAGGAGGAGTAGGAGCAGCAGGACGAGCAAGAGGAGCAGGAACAGGAGGAGCAGGAGGAGCAGGAGGAGCTGGAGGAGCAGCAGAAGCAGCACGAGCAACGGGAGCAGCATGAGCAGCAGGAGCTGCAGGAGCAGCAGGAGGAGGAGCAGGAGGAGGAGCAGGAGGAGGAGGAATATGAGGATGAGGAGGAGGAGGAGGGGGACAAGCGTCTTATCTGTCGTCCTACCCCTCCCTCCCATCCCTTACTATGGCGTAGATCTCCTCTCGATTTTCGCAGTCGGATGCCGAGCAGGGTAAAGATCTGGAGAGGGTGCGAAATTCATGGTCGTGCACTGCACGTCGTAGCACGGCGTAGAAGAGCATGGCATATCGTAACATGTCATAGCATGGCGTGGCATTGCGTAGTGGTCCATTGCAGCGCATAACGTGGCACCGCAGAGGGGCGCGTGGCATGAGAGTGAACGCTGTAGCGAGAGCGCGCTGTGGAAGATCCGCAGCAAGGAGATGAGGTCAGCGCTGCAGCGGGAGTATGATTTGGAAGGACCGAGAGCCAGATCATGGAGCCAACGCTGAAGCGGGAGCGCCATGCTGGAAGCACCGAAAACGCTTGTATGACCGACTAGCTTTTATGATTTGGAATGGCCGAGAGCCAGAACATGGGCCCAACGCTGTAGTGGGAGCGCCACGCTGGAAACACCGAACCGCTCGGATTGAAAGCACACGCACACACGCACACACATCTGACCGATCACCTAGTGTGATTTGGAAAGGCCGAGAGCCACAACATTGAGTCAACGCTGTAGCGGGAGCGCCATGCTGGAAACACCTAAAACGTTCGGCGTAGAAACAAACATACACACATGATCGATCACCTTTGTGGGCTCCGAGGAGTGCACACAGTACGCGGAGGGGGCAGGCTATGACCTCTGGGTCTTCGGGGGAGGAGGAACAACAGGCTGAGGAGGAGGAGGATGAGGAGGATGAGGAGGAGGAGGAGGAGGAGAAGAAGGAGGAGGAGGAGGAGGAGGAGGAGGACGAGGGCGAGTAGAAAGGCCAGAGACTTTTTGGATGCCTCCCGGAGTCTCTTCGGATATCTGTCGAAATTCTGGGAGTCCTCTTGGGGCTTCTTGGGGATCTCTTGGCAGTCTGGGGGGCCTCGGGGGCCTCTTGAGGGCATCACGGGGGCCTCTTGGGGCCCTCTTGGGGCCTCCTGGGCACCTCTTGGGGCCGCCTTGGGGCACCCTTGGGAGCCTCGGAGGCCACCTTGGGGCCATCTTTGAAAGGATCGATCGAAGGAGGGGGGCTCCTTACAAAAGGTTCCCCCCCACGAGGCCAAAGTTTGGCCACAAGCTTTGTACAATCAATGATGTTTGGCCTTCTCGCCGAGGCCTCTTGGGGCGTCTTCGGTGCCTCTGGGGGCCTCTCGGAGCCTCCTGGGAGCCTCTTGGGAGCCTCTTGGGGGCATCTTGGGCGCCTTCTGAGCACCTTTTGGGGCTGTCTTGGGGCACCCTTGGGAGCCTCGGGGGACATCTGGAGGAGATCGATCAAGAGAGGGGCCGTACTAAATTAGCGCCCCCCCAGGATGCCAACATGTGGTCAACACCGTTGTGTCATCAACGGTTCTTGCTTCCTCGCCGAGGCCATCTTGAACGCTCTAACTACCCGCGACCCCCCCCCCCGTCCAGGTCCAGAGGGAGGGGGTAGGGGGAGGGGTCAAGACTCCCTCCCCGCCCGCAAGCCGTCTTGCTCACTCCCACCCGCCCTCCCAACACATACGTAGCACCCGAGCCTGGCCCGAGCCGCAGCATATTCCGCAGTCGTCTTTGGATGGGCAGCTACTGGGGGCGAATCCGCCGCCACCGCCGCCGCCTCCGCCGCCGCCGCCGCCGCCCGGCGCCGCCGGCGCCGCGCCGCCGCTGCCGCCGCCGCGCGCCTGTCTGCCGCCGCCGCCGCGCGCCGGCCGCCGGCGCTGTCCGCCGCCGCCGCCGCCGCGCGCCCGCCGCCGCCCCCGCTGCCGAATCGTGACGCCGCCGCCGCCGCCTCCGCCGCCGCCGCCGCCGCCGCCACCGCCGCCGCCACCGCCGCAGCCGCCGCAGCCGCTGCCCCCGCCGCAGCCGCCGCAGCCGCCGCCGCCGCCGCCAAGTGTACTCTGTATTGTTTTTTGACAGGGATGGTGGGGGGAGGCCGCATCGGGTTCGCTGCGCATGCTCCGAATTAGGAGGCAGAGTGTGTGTTTGTATGGTTTTTTACAAGGGATGGTGGGGGGGCGGGTCCGCATTGACCCTGGTTGGCTCCCAGTCGCCCGGGGGAGGGGGTGTATCTTAATAGGGAGCAGTGATAAACCCTCCCCGATGGGGGAGGGGGTTGGACGAGGAGCCTCCCTGAACCACTCACGCTCTAAAGGGTTGGTGGGATTAGTAGTTCAACGTTTGCCAGCTTCTCTGCGTGCAGGGGCGGGATCTGGGCGGGTCGAACGTGAGGGGGTGCGAGAACGTCAACGCTCACCAGGCCGTGGACCACTGACGATCTCAATGCACATCGATAGCGACCATCGTGACAAGATTTGTGCATTTCTGCATCGGGGACGGCCATGCGGATCTTGCAGCTAGGTCAGGAGTGAACTTCCAGGTTGTCGCAGACGCAGTCACGCTTCGAGAGCCGAGCGAGCGCGTGCTAATGTCCCAGCTCACGATTTGACTCGCGGCCGAGATTCCTCCCGTTGGGGCTCAGAGCTGATTTGATTGATGTGCCCTGGTCAAGTCCCCCGCGCGTGGCACTCGCCAGTGGATGTGTCCGGGCCCCCCTGATGACCGCCAGCGTTTTTTTGCAATGCCAGACGCTCGTTTGAAAGGTGAGTGTTCAGGCCCTGCGATAGTTGGACCGCAGCGGTGTGCTTGTTGGAATTTCCGACTACTCGTTGCTGATCGTTTGTGGGCATCCCAGGAGCCACATCATGTGTGGATCTTGCCTCAGGAAGCTTCGAGAGCTTTGTTGCAGTCCAGGTGTAAGCAGTATGGAATGCATACCATTTGGGGCAATGCATGTACGGGCCTCCATCCCAAAAATAAGAATTTGCCCTTTTATCTGACATTTCCAACGTGTTGAAGACGGCGTGTTGCAGGGCGGTCGGGTCTAACAAGCAAGCCTCCATCCTGCCTCTTCCCTCCTCTATTTTATCCGTTTCCCTCGTCCTTGCTTCCTATTCCCTCATCCCTCCTTAACCCCCCTCTCTATCCCTCCCCTCCTCCCTCCTCTTTCCCCCCTCCCTGCTCCTCGCTGCTCCTCCTACTTCTCCCCTCTCCGTCTCTCCATCTATCCCTCCTCCTCCACCTCCTCCTCCTCCTCCTCCTCCTCCTCCCCTCCTCCCCCTCTTTCTCCTCTCTGCGTCTCTCCGTCTACCCCTCCTCCCCCGCCTCTTCCTCCTTCTCCCCTCTCCGTCTCTCCTCCTTCTATCCTGCCTCCTCCTATCCCTCCTCCTCCTCCTCCTCCTCCTCCTCCACAATCATACAATATGAATACTACTCTCCTCGATCCCCTGATGGCGTGCGGAAGATAGCGGGCACCCCTTCCGCGTACTGTTTTTTACACAGGATTTCCCGGAGTTGGGTTTTCGTTTTTTTTGTTGTTGTTGGTTTTAAATGATGCTCTCGCTGAGGCGCGGGCTTCATTTTCGGGCTTCCGCTCGTTCCGAATCGTGCTCCCGCTGCAGCGCTGGCCTCATTTCCGTGCTTCCGCTCGTTCCGAATCGTGCTCCCGCTGCCGCGGTGGTTTCATTTCCGCGCTTCCGCTCGATCCGAATCGTGCTCCCGCTGCAGCGTTGGCGTCATTTTCCGTGCCATGCCACGGCATGCAATGCAATGCTAGGTTGCGTTCCGCTGCGCGATGCAATGCCTTCAGCTGCAGCTGTCGTATCCAGTGCGTAAGTGCCACGCCACGCTATGCCATGCTACGCTTTGATCTTCAACGCCGTGCTATGCAATGTTATGTTCGGGGCCGCTGTGCGATGCCATGCTTTGCGTTGCAAAGCTTTGTGATGCAATTCTTCACTATGCCACGCCACGCCATGCTGTGACATACTACGCTTTGCGGTGCTCTTCTACGCCATGCCATGCCGTGCTCTACAATGCATCGCGTACCCTTTCGGGATCATTGCCCTGCTCAACATCCGACTGTGCGAGTAGAGAGGGGATCTACGCTACGCCATAGTAAGGGATGGGAGGGAGGGTAGGATGTCAGATATGACGCGAGCGCACCTAGCTCGCCCTCGTCCCCCTCCCCCCTCCCCCCCTCCTCCCCTCTCCGCCCCTCCGCCTGCCGCTCCCCTCCCCCCCGCGCCCGCGGGCTCGCCCCTGGGCAGTCCCTCGTCGCTCGCCTGCTGGACGCCAGAGCGGACTCCAACCTCGCCAGCCGCGGCTCGCAGGTGGTCGCCGCGGGAGGCCGGCCCCGCCCGCGCCCCGCCCCGCGCCCCTCCTGCAGGTGTAGGGCCGTCGGGCTCGGCCCCCCTGGCGTGCGACTTGGTGGGGAGGAGGAGGAGGAGGAGGAGGAGGAGGAGGAGTAGGAGGAGGAGGAGGAGGAGGAGGAGGAGGAGGAGGAGGAGGAGGAGGAGGCGGAGGAGGAGGAGGAGGAGGAGGAGAGGAGGAGGAGGAGGCAGAGGGGAGGGGGAGGGGGAGGGGGGAGGGGGATGGGGGAGGGGGAGGAGGGGGGGCGGAGGAGGAGGAGGAGGAGGAGGAGGAGGAGGAGGAAGCAGGAGGATGAGGAAGCAGGAGGATGAGGCAGAAGGCGCAGACAAGAAGAGAAGGAGGAGGCACGAGGGGGCAGGATTGGGGGCATGAGGACCTCTCCAGGCAAGCTCAACAGGTTCTCATGCGGGGTCCTACCGTCGGAGCAGTGGCGCTTTTTGTGCTCTCGCTGCTTGTTTCTGACTACCTCGCGCGGCGCGCGGCCGATGCACACGAACACGAAGGGAGGAGGAGGAGGGGGCGACGGCGCGCGCCCAGGGGGGGGGGAGCAGGGCACGTGCGCTCTCAAAGCTGGGCCCCCCCCCCCCCGAGCCTCGACACGCCGGCCGCGCCCCGACGACGGGTGGCGCACCTTCGCCTCGGTGCCACGTCCAGCAGCCCCGGCCCCGGGCTCGGCACGATCGAAGCCCGAGTCTTGCCAGCAATGCCGAGGCGGCGCCAGAGGACCAGGCGATCACAAGCATGGATTGAGGGGGCGTGGATTAGCGACGGGTCCCGTTTCCATGGGAAATCGCGGATTTCCGCCGCCGAACGAGGCGGCACCGGCCGCCATTTGGGAAGGGCACCTCCCCCGATCAATGGATTTGGCGACCGCGCGCTTAATCCATGGATCGCTGATCCATGTTTGCGCGCCCCCGAGAGGACCAGCGTGAGACGCCGCACGCTTCGCCGGCGAAGCGTTCAGCTCTCACTTGGGTTAGACAAAGGGGAGGTCGGGTGTTGTTAGAAGTGCCCCTGGCCCAAGGTGCCCCCAGGATTTCCAAGCAGGCCCCCACGGCCTCCAGGGCCCCAGGGGCTTCAGAATGGTGAGGAAAGCTTGGGGCACCTTGCGCCAGGGGCACCTTCTTCGCACCCGCCGGGGAATGGGCACGGAAAAAAACGGGCACGAAGACCGAGAGCAGTCAGTTTCCGTTCTTTCTGAGTAGGACGCGCCGTCGGTGTCGCTCCGAACGATGCCCACGTGTGAAAACGGTGGGCCGCCTGACCGACAGCGGCCGCTGTTGTTAAGTCGGGCCTGTCCCTCTACAGGACGAGTACCCAAAATATCACAAACATAGATTTGGGACGATTTTGTTGACCATGTTTCAGCATTTGTTGATTTTTTGACTTCTTAATTTTTCGTTCAGCATCCGCCTGTAGGAGGACACGCCCGACCTAACGCCATCGGTTTTGGACAGCACTGGCCGTTGGGCAACGTTCGGAGGCCTAGAGGTTGACGCCAACACCAGTATCGGCGGTGTGCCTCCACCGAGGGAAGAAGATCCCGATCTCGGTGATGGTGGTAATATTCTGGCTTCCAAGGTGACCGAAATATTAGCACCAACACCGAAATCTAGGATCGTCTCCCCCCTGTGGAGGCAGCCCCCTGTCTTGGTGTTGGTGCCCATTTTCAGGCCTCCAAAACGTGTCCAGGTTTTCCGTGCCCGGCGTGCCCACGTCGGGCGCGCACAAGCAGCCGCGTGCTCGGCTGCGGCTCTGGTGCTGTCGCCTCGGCGCCCTCCCCGCCCGATCTCGCCCGATCTCGTGGCCGGGGCCACGAGGTTTCCCAGCCCTCATGGTCCCCTCTGTAAAACGACGCGAAGATCGGGACAAAATCGGATCGGGATAACTCGAAATCTCTGAGAATCGGCGGGTTTGGAGGATGTATTGGGCGCCGCGGCCGCTCCAGAGCGTTCCAGAACGCTCTGAGAGCGCTCCGGAACGCTCTGGAGCCATTTATCCCGATCCTGGCCCTGTTTTACTCTGTCAGTGTCGTTTCACCGACCCCATATCCTCTCCCCATCCCCATCCCCATCCAGACCCCCACCATCTGAGCACCACAGTTGGGGATATGCGCAAGTCGGGCATGGCCCTCTACAGGAGGAATATCCCAACATATACTCAAAATATATTCTGGGGACGGTTTTTGAATTATTTGTCGCTTTTCTCGAGTCTTTTTTGGCTATGGTTTATTTTTCTTCCAAGCTCCGCAGGGAGGGAGGGAAGGAGAGACGCAGGGGGGGAGAAATGAGGGAGGGATGATGGAGGGAGGGACGGAGGGATGGAGGGATGGAGGCATGGAGTGATGGAGGAATGAATGGATGGGTGGATGGAGGGAGGGAGGGGGGTTGGAGGAGAGGGAGGAGGAGCGGGAGGAGGAGAGGGAGGAGGAGGAGGACGAGGAGGAGGAGGAGGATGAGGAGGAGGACGAGGACGAGGAGGAGAATGAGGGGAAGGAGGAGGAGGAGAGGAAAAGGGGGGTCGATGGGATGGAGGAAGGGAGGATGGGATGAGGATGAGGATGAGCATGAGGATAGGATGATGCTGACCGGGGAAGATGTTACGATGCTGCTGATATTATAATGATGATGCTGCTGATGGTGATGATGACGATGACGTTGACGATGCTGATGCTGATGTTGACTATGCTTATGTTGATACAGATGCTGACGATGCTTATGCGGAGGATGATGATGCTGATGGTGATGCTGATGCTGTCGCTGCTGATGATGTTGTTGCTGGTGATGAGGACGATCATGCTGGTGATGATTGCTGATGATGGTGGTGGTGGTGTTGGTGATGCTGATGTTGATGATGATATGGATCATGATGAAATGATGATGATGATGATGATGATGATGATGATGATGATGACGTTGCTGCTGCTGATGATAATGATGATGTAGACGACGACGCCGCCAGCGACCATGCTGATATTGATGATGATGCTGATAATGATAATGATAATGATAATGATGACGATAATGATGCTGATGCTGATTCTGATGATGATGACCATCACGATGCTGGTGCTGATGATGCTGCTGGTTCTGATGATGATGATGATGATGATGATGATGATGATGATGATGATGATGATGATGATGGCGAAGAGGGTGAGGATGCGGACGATGATGCTGACCAATATGATGATGCGGATTTTGAAGCTGATGCTGATGATAAAGTTGATTCTACTGATGGTGATGATGCTGACGATGCTGCTGACGATGATAATGATGCTGATGCTGATGCTGATGCTGATGCTGATGATGATGATGATGATGATGATGATGATGATGATGATGATGATGATGATGATGATATTGATGATGATGATAATGCTGATGATGCTGATTATGATAATGCTGATTGTGCTGATGATGATGACGATGCTGATCATTATGATGATGAGCTTGATGATGATGATGCTGCGTATGGTGAAGATGATGGTGATGATGCTGAAGGTACGATGTGATGATGATGACGCTGCTGATGCTGATTCTTACGACGATCATGCTGATGCTGCTGATGATGATGCTGATGATGGTGATGATGATGCAGCTGATGATGAT